CTAAGGGCTAAATTCACTTAAAAGGACATTCCTAACAATGGCTTGAAATAACCACACAAATTTCTGGCATGGCCAAAAACCTAGCATGGTTTAAGTATATACTGACTGATTAATTAATATCTCCAGTGCTATATTCAGTGCCAATATCATATGCCCCCTATGTACACAAATGTAATACTAACATTTATATCTTATAGTATCAAAGTAACATCCTTGACAATGAAAAATATGTGCCACTCTCATGACTATATTAGCACTGTTAATAATTTTACATTGTATTCTATCTTTTAAAAATATGGTATTCTATTTTTTTTGAGCTTTGAGCTGTCAATAAATAATCTCAAATAACTTTTATCTAAAAATCTTTTAAAAAATCAAAGTATTAGAAATAAGTCTCAAACAATATTTGAAACATGACAATAATAATTTAACTTGAATGTTAAAAATTTCACAATCAAATTGTTTAACATAGTTATAGAAAAATTGTCTGACCATTAGCAAGGCCTATTAAGTTTTTTTAAAACAAAAACCAATTTGTAACTGAAATACTGAAATGTTGATTTAAAACACCTCCAAACACAACTCTATGCTCCCTATATTATATTTCAAAATCAGAAATGGAGAGAACTCCTGGCCAGTGTTGGTACAAATAGTGAATTACTTCCTAAAAACAGATACTAATTTTTTTTATTAGAAAACGAACATGCAAAGAGCTAATTGGGACAAATGAGTGTAAAAAAAGTGAAACCGTTAAAAATGAACCCATATAATCTCAAAAAGTGAGGCAGAAAAATAAGCAGACAAAATCGAAGAACCCTTCATTATTTGCCAAAAATAGTGCAAAATATTCTAAAAGTTAGGAGTTTTTCTCAGTATTCCAGTGTCTAATAAATAATTGCATTAATTTAAAGCCATTAAGTGAATCTAGTGAGCTTATGTAGCTGAAACTACCACATGTAAGACATTTTATATGCCATATACACTTTAAATGACATCATGGTCAGTGTTCCATTATGGAATCATATGCTTCACACTTTAAGCCATTTTTAATCAAAATTATTTATTGGATCTGCTTCAAATAAAAGATTCAATCTCCATCTCCATTAGAAATTAGTGGAATAAATTTTCCCTTCAACTTGTAGTACTCCATTGTACCAGACAATTAATTAACTTGCCAGCTTTGTGACTATGGAAGCCAGCTGATACAAAACTACTTTAAAATCTACAAACTCTGATCAAAGCCATTTCATAGCTTCTAACTTGAATTTAAAGAAATCCACAGAAATATAATCAACTTTAAGATGGCAGCATACAACTGCTTTGTGGCAAAAAGTAGTAAGGCATAAATTAGAAGAAAAAACCAAATTAGAATAAACCAAAACCTCTGTCCTGACATCTGTACAGATATCTGTATTTCCAACACTTCTTCATCTATACTGATTATGTTTTTCTGTCTGTAACACTTTTCCTAATGTGCTATATTCACCAAGTACTAGACTAGAATGAAATAAATTAGAGAAATTAAGAGAGTCACGTACATTTATTGTAGAACATGTAAAGGGAGGCAGTAGGGTGTTAAAATGCAAAGGGACAGGGTTTGATTCTGGCTCTGCTTCTGAGTTATGTGACGCTGATTAAGTCACAACTTCTTTGAGTCTCAGTTTCCTGAGGATAGTTACAGGATGAGAGTTGAGCGCAAAATAACTTGTAGGGTCTTTTCTAGCACAAAAACTCTGATTCTTTAATCACAGTAAATTGGGAGGGTCTGGGAGTATTGGGTATTAGATTTAGAATTACAACTTTTTTTCCTAGGTTCTTAAAATATCCTTTTATTTTAAAAAATTAACTAAATTTTCACTTTATATTTTATTCATTCTCTTGTAACATAATTATAATTAGTGCCATAGAGGTATATTCACAAAGTTTTCAGGTGTTTTTGCTCCCTTTCCCACAATCTGGCACAAACGGCTTCAATCAAATAGTTTTACGTTGTTGTTGTTGATTGTTGTCAAGTAGAGCATGACTCATAGAGACCCTATGAACAAAACGCCTGAAGCCTTTCTATAACTATCGTCATTTATCAACGTTCATAGAGTTTCCAGAGGCATGTTACTGAGGAAGTGGATGCCACTCCTGCTTCCCAGTATTTTATACCAAAGATTTTCATATATGGTTGGATTTTTTTTAGAGGAAATTATAAAGTATAAAACAAAAGGTTATTAAAGGATAAATTACAAACATCACTGGTTAATACTTGTAATAGCACTATTATATATATCTCAAACTATTAAATTAAACGCCAATAAATAATGGAAATGAATATCAAAAAGCTTGGTTTGTTAAACTAATTTCATTTTTAAACTATGTCTTGCACAGGGAATCAGTTCTAAGAACCTGAATAACTAAGTGAGATATTTCTCATTGGTCCTAAAGAACACAGTTTAAAAGAATGGAACACAAATGTTACAGGGTCATGAAACATTAATGAGTAGGTATTATGTTACAGGGTCATGAAACATTAATGAGTAGGTATTAAACATACAAAATACAGACATTATTTGTAAGTATGTACATATTGATAAGAAAATCCACTAAATAAGCTGAAAATTTTCCAAAACCAATTTTATCAGTATAACACATAATTTCCAAGAAAAATCAAAGGGAAATTTTTGTTTTATCAATTACAGCTTTTCTGTTGATACTTCTTTTGTGCTTTAACTAGAATTATGCTAGCTTTAAATGTCATTAAATGCAAAATGTGTTGAATTAAAAACAATCCTTCAGTTTTACTAAATAAACCAGGAAGTTATTGTCTAAAGTGACCAACCTCTAGTCATAGCCAAGAATCTTTCTTCCTAGTAAGTACTATGCTCTTTCTCTTTTATTCCTCAACTTCACTTTTCTTAGTATATCTCAGACCTTCTCATTTATTTTGGCTGTTTATCTGACATCCCTTAGTCAAGTTAAAAGTAAGGAATATCTAATATATAACTTTGTGATATATACACATAAGTAAAACTTCACACACACACATACACACAAGATCATCTATAATCTTTAACTTTACCGCAGACTTTGGCAATGTTGTAGGTACTAGTTCAGGTTCTAGTTTTCCATTTTCATATGAGCTGAGAAATGTTACAGACCAAGTCCAAATAAGATACCATTTTTCTTATAAAGATTCCAACAGAACCTCTCATTTTAAAAGATGTTCTTATAATTACAAAAGGTGGAGGATTGTTAGATGTGAAAGAAACAAAGAAGCAGTTTTCTCATTATTTTATTAATCAAAATCTATTGTGATTTTAAAGTTGAAGTTTTTAGCTTTGTAAATTAGAAGGATACCTGCTTTTTATAAATTCAATATACATTATTTTTCACAATAATAAAGTAAAAAGTCTAAATAAACAAAGCACTAATACCTCTGATGTGCTTTTATGGCAGGATAACTTATTTCAAGCAGTAGAGACTGAGACCCAGAAGAGGTATCAACAAAACTTTATCCAACCAAAAATAAAACTTTTTTTAACCAATAATGCGTTTTTGTAGCCTCAAAGCACAGTTACCAAATGCTACTTACATACATACAACATCTAGCTTACTGGCATGATTTCAAGGTTTTATAAAAAATGGGGAACTTCTGCAGTTGTATGATTAGAAGGTACACAAATTGCATTACATTAACACAAAGGCAGTGTGGTCCTCGTAGGAGAAGTCAAGTCAGTACTCCCTGGTAGAAATATTCTATAAAAATGTATCACATTGAAGCATCAGTGTTTTCAGCCAATTATCTGTCCCTGATGTATTTCCTTGGAATATATGATCTGTCAGGGCTTCAGGTTTTTTAATCCAAAAAATATGACTGAACTTAGGTACATCTAGAAAGCAGCTGAAAGGGTTTCTCCAATAGTCTAACATCACAGAAAGTAGATTGAGAAATCCCTCTCTTTACCTGAAGATGTACTTGTTTTACTTCAGTCATCATCAGCTCACAAAGGAAAACAAAACAAACATAACCAGCAAAATCTCCCCTAACACACACACACACACACACACACACACACACACACACACACACACACACACACACACACACACACACACACATATATTCCACAGAAGCGAAACAGAAACAACGCCAACTCCCGCCCAGCACCAAAGTGTCAATCATGCCTGGGAAATTGAATATGCTCCGTGAATGCTCTTATTTGTTAGCTGTTTGAACTGTATGGGCAAAAATGGCCCTATGTCTTTGTGGGGAGATAGGAAGACAGGTTAATTATGACTATATAGCCATTGAAAGTGCATTTTCAACTCAATGATCAATTTCGACCTCCTCATCAATAGAGGATGCCACAACTTGATTTGAATGCCTCAGTAACGAACATATATGTCCTCAGGATAAAGTAGATGAGGAAAAATGAGATGGGGAAAATAAAGAGCTACCCTCATTTTAATGAAAAAGTGTAGCAGTCTGCCACCTTTCCTCATGCTTTGCAAGAAAATGATTGCACAGACTCAGAGAAGATCAAAGTCAGCAGAATCTCTGAGGCACTCCTGGTTAAGAGAGAAAAAAATATGATCCAGTAGTCTTCATAGTTCTACAGATTGAGAAGAAACCCGTTTTGTTTTTTAAAACAAAGCCAAAGAATCATTTCATAGGGATCATATACACCATTTCCTCTAAAATATCTTCAGTCTCACAGTGTTGAAATGGGACTGATCAGCCTACGATGGATTGCACATCACCCAAGGAGAAAGGAAGGCATGGAAAAGGCATACATCTTATACTGCTTCACAAACACATTTACAATAGGTGAAGATATAGTAGAGTAAAACAAAACCTTATTGCTGTTTCCATACAAAATACAGTATGAAGATACCTAGACTAAATCAAATCTGATTACAACGACCAGTATTTTCACAATATGGGATGAAGTGTCTTCTTGCACAATGAAATGTTCAGTACAGAAAGTAAGCAGAAAGAGAAGATGGCAAAGCTACACCTGGGATATTAGCTGCATATTGAAACTTGGGGATCGAGACTGCTTTGTTAAGGGAGCTCCTGGGCTGAGGAGCTCTTTACCTTCTCCAGCTTGACCTAGCCGGTCGTCCTGCAGACTGATAGTTGAATAACGGTTGGTATTGTTAGCAGCTAAATTAGTAACTCCCTCAGGGCCAACTCCAATGCTGGTACTTGCTTGACTGCCATTTACATAGTCAAATGATTTACTTGAGGAAGCACTAGCTGTCCGGATTAGACTTAAACTATTGGTTTTTGGCACCACCTGGCCAGCAGGCAGGCTCAGGTGTTTCTTCATCGGTGTCAGCTCAACTGAATCTACACTCAGATCAGAAGGTTGCTGTACATACTGCTTGCGAAGTACGGCATCTCGAGGGCTCTCACTGGTTTTGTTTGCAGAGGCTGTTTCTTTATCCTTGGCTGAACGACCAGTTGCTACTTTCCTTAGGCTTCCCCTCAGAGAAGAGGATGATGGTTTGGTTCCAACTGGCTGACTACTGAGGGAAGCCCCCGATGAAAATCCTTCATCTGCATCATTCAAGTTTATAGATTCCTCTCCTCCATTTACATCCTCAGCACCTAAAAATAAATCAGACAAACTTCAGCAACAGCTAATTAAACAAAAAGCAACTGTTGAGTAACAACTCAACACTGATTTTATTTCTTGGGTACTGTTTGCTATAGGTTGGCAACGTCTTATTAGGGATATAAACTTTCATTTACACAGAAATCTAATATAATATTAATTCTCAATTGGTTCAATTATTCCAACTCTTGTAAAGCTATCTACAAACTAAGCACACTAGTTAAACGTTGGCATATAAAACAACTTAAGGTAAAACACTGTTCTTCTAGTATAAATCTTTAACAATATTACTTTGTCATTGTGAGGTAATCATATAAAATTTTTCCTTTCTATTTTGCTAAATCCATCTTATGATGGATGACCAAAAGGATGCCTCTGCTAATTTCTTTTATCTTGAATTACAGGAAAAACTTACTTATCTCTATAGGCCAAACCCTGAACTGGCAATAATTTTTTGCCGCCCCAAAAAAGCTAACTGCTTCTTGGTGCTTTTGGAACATTTACCTTGGAACAAGTTAGGAAATCAGCAGAGATACTTAAAAAGGAATTTAACTTTCCATATAATGTGTTACTAACATATGTAAAAATTTTAACAATGATTATATATTATTGTTACAATACAAATATTACAGTGTCTCATCACATTTCATGAAGAAACTGCAGTTAATGAAAGAATCCTTATCTTAGGAATAAATTCTTATAATGGGGAGGGATTTTATTCAAATTTCACTTATCTTACTGAAACTATGATCAATATTCTCTTAGAAAGTAATACATTTGCTTCTTTTACAAATGGATTATTATTTGTTACCTCATTACATTAATTTCACAAATTGGAAGAAAGTTTAACCCAAATCTGTCAGGAAAGACAATCCTAAACAAATAATTTTGAGATACATTTTACATAAGTAAAATATGTATGAAATAAAGAAACATTATTTAACATAATACCTAGAAAAATGAAAAGTATTTTCTTATATGGATTAAGTTACTTCCTTCCTTTCAAAAGAAGAAAACAGGCTATCCTTAAAGCAAAAAGCATCTTTTAATTATATCCAGCAGTTTAATAATCTTAAATCATCATGCAAAGCCATATGAAAATGCATTTATTAAAAACAGTAGCAGCTGACACCACTTCTCTCAACCCCTTATTCAAAAGAAGAGCATATAATGTACCTCATATAATGTACCTCAAAATAAGAACTTCAAACTGTATTTATGCAACTGGCTCAGAACAAATATTAGGAACAGAAAACTGGGAGTGAACAGAATATAGTATAGGGTATATCTACTGAGAGGAGACTGAGAGACTTAGTGCTAGCTTCTGAAAATTGCTCCATGCACAACTGTTGCCCAAGCAATGACCATAAAAGATAGAGCAAAAAAGCCACCATGCAAGAGAATCTACTAGTATTTTACATATTAAAACAGGTTTTTTTAGTAGAATATGGATTATACTTTAATCACAGGTATTATCTTTACAAATAATATTGACTCTAGCTTTAAAGTCTCAAATAGAATTTCACTTGACACTCAGGAGATAGGTAAAAGGTTGCTATCATCCCTTCAGTTTCAACATATAAAAACAGCCTTAATTCTTTCAAGACTGAATTGTTCTCCGCTTTGAATTTTTGTTGAAACCGTGTGTTTTCAGTGAATGAAATGGAAATTTTGAAAGAAATGGAAAAAAGCTTTTTGGAGGTAAAAAGGATTTTGATACAATGAATGGGACACACATGGTCTGAGGAGTTTCTGGTACTGGGATTGGTAGGAAGAGATAGGCTTCTTATTCATATAGTTATATAAAACCCTGTCAAATGGCAGCATATACTTAAAAGTGGGACCCGGGCTTCCTACTAAACCCCAAAGAAAAGGTAGGCGCCTGTCATATATTCCAAAGGTCACAAAATAGTTAATTTAAAAACCATCATTCTAAAAAAAAAAAATTTCTTTTAAAAGAGAGATTGATGTTAATCAAAAGATTCCAGTTGACTTAAGGATTATGAGAAAAAAAATTTTCTCTTTCCTATATACCTTCCCAGCCCTTCAATTTACAGCTAAACAACAGACACTAAAATATTAGAGGTGTACTCTCATTGTTAAAATGTATGTAAATAATAGCTATTATCTATTACATAATTTTCCAAAAAAATTTATTTTTTAAATTATTATTAATTATCTTTGGTTTCACTCTCTATTGATTCTCACTATGTTAACCCTCCAAGATTGATTCTTTGTGTATAGATTGTTTTCTGGTTTTTCACAGTGGTTTTATATCATAACTGTCCTTTTATGAGACTGACTTAGATAATAATAAGCATAATTTGTTCTAAATTTCCTTCATGTTGTGCAATTATATTGTTGATTCTTGATTGTTTTTAGTGATGCCTAAAATGTTTTCAAAGATTTCAGTTTCTTCCTTCTGCTTAGCAAAGTTTGGTAACAAAAAGGCAATGATCTGTATCTCACAACTATTTTCCTTTCAGTGTATTTTTTCCTACATAGTAACACCATCATGATTCAAAGAAGAAATCGTGGATAAAGATTTTGTAACTAATGATGCCCTTTCCTTATAAATTAGCTTCTGTAGATTGAAAACTACAATTAATCTACATTAAAAGGTATTTTTTTAAAGTAATTTTTTTAAATCTAACCAAGAAATTTATTCTTTCCTTGTAGCCACTGTAGCCACCATCTCTGACAACTTAAGCCTCCTTACTAAGGACAGGAAATATTCAAATTAACTACTGTCTTCTTTTTCAAAATACATGATTTTTGAAAGACATTCATCAATTTCATCAACTGTTGAATTTCATCAACTATTATTTGGCACAAATATTCTAACACTGTCATACCTAGAGTAGACATACCACAATAACTCAATCATGAAAAATGTAGAGAAACAGACTGTCAACTCAGGCCAACTGTGTTCAACAACTACGCATATTCTCTCCAACCCTTTTAGTAATTTAGGACTCTGATATGCCTGTATGTGTCTTCCTTTTCTTTAGTGATATTAATCATCCCTTATCCCCGATTAATAAAGGTCTATTATCTAACTATTGATTTTTCCCTCCATGTATATGGGCAAATAAGACTGACTTCCAGAGTTAAAAAAGAAATAAGAAAAAATTAAAAAGATTTTTGCTGCATCTTCCACAGCCATTGAAAGAATAATCTTGGCAAAACAGCCCCAACCTCTAGAGGACCCGTGATCATGCACATGCAAGATTGTCAAATGAAGGAAGGTCAATCTGGACAAACTGGCAAGGGGATAGAGGACAGATTTAGATTCTTACTGAGCATGCTCAAAATTCCAATGTACCAAAAGAGCAACCGAACTCACTAAGGTATTGTTCATGAATGATTTGTTTTAAAATTAAGGAAAATATTTTAAAAATAGGTTGTGCTCTATAAACATGTGCAAAAGTTCCACAGTAGTAATATATTATATAATGTATGTTAATTAGGGAAATACATAAAAGACAATAAATAATGGGGAGAAAACCTATCGGGCAACTATCGTTGCCTTTCTTCATAAAGCCAACCCCTATAGGATTACATTCAAAACAGCACAAAAATACTTTCCTCTCAGAAGTATTATTCCACAAATGGGGGGAAGACGCATAGGGCATTATGTATTAGTCTGCTAACTGAAAGGCTGGCAGTTCAAATCCACCAACTTCTGTATGGGAGAAAGATAACACAGTCTCCTCCTATAAAAGACTTACAGCCTTGAAAACTTGGTGACAAGTCACCATGAGTTGGAATGGATTCTGCAACAGTGAACTAAATGGATACACTGTTCATTATTTTGTTTCTAAAAATCCTCATCAGGCATCAGGCTTCTCAGAAATACATTTTAACTACTTATTACAACCATAATTTGTAATAAATCATAAAATACAGTGTGCACCAATTGAAAATAGATTTCAATTTAAAAGAGTTCAATATTACCACTTGATTTAAGAACACAACTGCACACCCTTATCAAGCAAAAAAAAGTTCTTGTTACGTGACTGCTCTGAGATTAGAGATGAACCAGTTGGTTCCACTTTAGTCTATTTTCTCAAGGATAGCATAATACTATTTTAAACCTCTCTTCATGGATTTTTAAAGAATTACTGTACAAATAAAATAAATTCACTTTAACTAATGATACAACTCATGTACACTTGATGCATTCATCCTTCCCTAATATTAGAACAAACATGCTCAGTAATGAAAAAACTTGAAGCATTTGCAGATCTTTTGGAGACAGTCGCTTGTCTTGTTAGTAGCCATGCCAAGCTGTTTGACCACACAGGGATGCAGACTCCAGGCCAGCACAAATGGTAACTAAAATTATACCTGACCTGGTGCTAGGAAAACAGGGGGGTGTGCTTTGCAAGGAGGAGCTAACACACTCTGGGGTAGTGGGCACACACACTAGAATGGAAAGATGTTCTGCTTGGGGATAGAGAGCCAGGATCCTTCTCCAGCAACTGCCTCACTGACTTCTGCCTCCTCATCTCTGTCCTACCCTCTGTTGTGGCTGCTGCTGAGTTGGGCTCCGGCGAGCCATGCTCAGGGCTCCTGCGCACCAGCACCTCCCCCTCGTGCACACGTTTGATCCCTAGGTCAGTGGAGCCGTGTTGGATCGGGGAGCCAGGAATACTCGAGTCAGCCTCGTTTGAGAAGTCAAAGCCATCTGGGATTCAACATATAAAATTTTAGTGCTTTTATGCTATTCTATTCTTTTCTGAGCATTTAGACCCAGGCAGATAAGAGAATGTATATATGGATATGATATAAACACAAACACTACTTATATAGTTATATGTGTGTGCACAGCATGCACACACATAGGAAGCAGATGAACAATGTGAGGTTTGCAAATGAATAGGACAGAAAAATAGGGATCATTAAAATAGCAATTAATATCTCTTAGGCAGGACAGCTTGACAATTCAAGAACCATATGCCTATGAAATACTGATGGATTCAGCATTTACCAAAAAAAAGACAGACTAAAGTCTGAAAACAAGAAATAATTCTTTGATAGATTGCTTGTATTAAGACTGTCGGCCAGTTAATACAGTTTTTCTGACAATGTTCACACATGCATCTTTTCCTCCCAGTATGATAATAGGTTTATGAAATAAATTTTTCCCCTGTTATTGTTAGTTCAAAAAGAGATAAAAAAATAACCTAATCTATTTTTGTTTCAGCATCTGTAAAAGAGTCTAACATGTATACATACTTTTAGGCAATAAAATTACTCTTCTAGTGTTAGTTTTTCCAAAAAACCAAGAAAAATTCCTTTTAATTATACAGATTGCTATAGGATCATGATTACTATAGTCTGTAAAAGCAGTGATAAGTTTACTGGGATAAATGAGCAGACTGTGGGGACTCTGTACTCACCTTCTCTCCTCCATCTATGACGACGTATTGAAGCTGTAGTAATCGCAGTACGAGAAATCCTCGGCACTGTTGGAGTGACTTCTACTTTAAGTACTTTCTGGCCTTCTTGTGAAGAATCAGGAGCATCAAATGGTAATGAGTTTTTCATGGCATTGGCAACCTAAAATGATGATATAAGTCTAAACAAATTTACAATCAATATAATTTATTTTTATCCTATACCTCACAGCTCTAAAATTCTGGAGCATGTATTTTAAATTTGTACTTTATACTAAGTCAGAAGCACTATTTCTTTGTTTTTGGGCAAAGTTTTGAAATGAGAATGTTAAGTTATGTATCACAGTGGTTGACTCTCAAAGAGAAAAGAATAGCATTCCAAAGAAAAATCAATTTGAGCACCTGATATAAAAATCCAGAATATATTTCTGACTCTTCAAATGATAACTTAGGTATAAAATTTAATTCTAATAAATATTTTTCCCCCCCACATCTCTATTTCCATGAAGAAAATAACTTTCCTCAACTCTTTGGGCATTCTATACTGCCACTTTCTGTTCCTTGTGGAGAAGATTGAGATATCCAGGTAGTCTGAAATTGATCAAACATGGATCCAAAGGAACTGACAACTTCTGATTATGGGAATGCAAAACAGGATTGAGAATTTGCAAATATGGTCGTGGTAACAGATACAATGCTAGAGGTTAAATGACAGAATCTTTCAAGACCAACAGCTTACACATTACCTTTTCTCAACAGTATAAAGTAGCTCTGGTGGCTCAGTGATAATGAGATGCTCTGCCTACCCAAAAGCATCCACCAGCTGCTCCATGAAAGATAGGCAATCTCTTTTTGTGCAATTTATAGCCCCTGAAAACCCACTGGAGAGTAAGCTGTGAGCTTGGTCAGGCTAAGAGGTACATAACAACAACAACAACAACAACAGCATGTATGGTGATTATAAACAGGCCGCGATGACAGACTATATAGAAATCAAACTGATTTATGGAAAGAAACAATGGAGAAAGCAGAATGTCACTAGTTGGAACAAGGTCAACAGCTGAGTATGCCAAACCCTCAAGTAGTCACATGGAAGCAGTTCATATGAAGTTAAAGAAAACTAAATTATGTCCATGAGAGTCAAAGTACAACTCTGAATTTAACCCACCAGAATTTATAGACTATCTCAAGAATGGTGCACTGAACACTAACAATAACAGATGAGATAATATCAAAGAAATCATCCATGAAGAAAGCAAACTGTCATTAAAAAGGCAGACATACCAAAGTGGATCCTAGAAGAGACTCTAAAAAATTTACACTTGAATGTAGAGCAGCTAAAGCAAATGGAAGGATTAAGGAAGTAAAAGAGTGGAACAGAAGATTTCAAAGAGCAGCTTGAGAAGAGAGTAAAATATAATGAAATGCACAAAGACCTAAAGTTAGAAAATCAAAGGGAAGAAGATGTCCGACACTTCTTGACCTGAAAGAAATGAAGATGAATTAAAGCCTTGAATTGTAACACTGATGGGTTCTCTAGGTAAAATATTTCAAGGCACAGGGAACATCAAAAGAAGATGGAAAGAAAACAGAAAATAAGAAAACAGAGTGTATAAAAAAATTGTTAAATCCAACCAATTGACCTTCATTTTAGGGAGTACCATATTCTCAAGAACCGATAGTATATGTAAGGAAGAAGTTCAAGAGGAACTGAAGGCATTGGTGAAAAACAAAGCTTCAGGAATTATCATGTATCAATTGAGATGTTTTAACAAACAGATGTAATATTGGAAGAACTCACACATCTATGTTAACACATTTGGAAGGCAGTCACATGGCCAAATGACTGGAAGAGATCCATACTTGATCCAGTCCAAAGAAAAGCAATTCACCAAAATGTGGAAATTATAGAATAGTATCATTTATACAGGCACATGACACAACCCTGCTTGTTGAAGGTTAAGGAGGACTTGAAGCACTTGTTGCAGAAGATCAAGGAACGCAGCCTTCAGTATGGATTGCATCTCAATGTCAAAAAAACAAAGATTCTTACCACTGGACAGACATGGAGCGTCATGATGGTTGGAAAGGAGATCGAAAATGTCAACAGCTTCATCTTGCTTGGATCCACAATTAACACCTTTTGTACCAGTAGCCAGGAGATAAGGAGATGCACTGGGAAAATCTGAAGTTAGGGACCTCTCCAAATAACTGAGGCATAGTGATGTCAGTATGAAGACTTAGGTGTGTCTGATTCAGGCCATAGTGTTTCCAATTACTAGCTATGCATCTGAGAGCTGGACAATGAATAAGAATGACAGAAAAAGAATTGACACCTTAGGGCTGTGGTGTTAGAAAAGAGAACTGAACATCCCATGGATGGCAAAAAGAACAGATATGTCTTGGAGAGGGTGTACCCGGAGTGCTCTTTGGAGGCAAGAATGATGAGGCTTTACTTTACATACTTTGGACATGTTGCTAGGAGGTGCCATTCCTGGAGAAGGAAATGAAGCTGGGAAGGGTGGAGGGTCAGTGAAGGAGAGGAAGACCCTCAACCAGGTGGACTGACACATTGACTGCTGCAATGGGCTCTTGTGTGTCAGAAGTGTGAGGATGGAGCAGGATAGAACAGAGTTCAGATCTTTTGTTCATACAGTCACTGGAAGTCGTGCTCGACTTAACAGCACCTAACAACAACGACAAGAAGTAAAATTTTGCTAATGATAATTCAAAACTAGTTGCAGAGGAACTCTGGTGGCCTAGTGGCAAAAAGCTGCACCGCAATCTCAGAAGTATGCAGTTTGAATCCAACAGATGCTCTGCTGGAGAAGGAGGGCAATTTCCTCCTGTACAAGTCAACTTCAATTTGATGGTGTACACACACACACACACACACACACACACACACACACACACACAAATAATATAATTTTTTTTAAAAATAACAAAAACTAGTTGCAGTAGAATAATTCAAAACCAGCTGCTGACAGAGAACTGCTTGAAATTCAAGATGGAATCAGAAGAGGATGTGGAATGAAGGATACCATTGCTGATTTTGGATAGGTCTTGGCTGAAAGAACACAAGAAAGATATTTACCTGTGTTTTGTTGAAAATTAAAAAAATTCAACTGTGTGCATCATAACAAATTATAAAAAACACTGTGAAATATGAGAATTCCAGAATGCTTAATTTTACTCAGCTTTAAGTAGACCAAGAAAAGAACAAGGGAATACTGCCTGGTTTAAAAATCAGGAAAGTGTACTTCAGTGTATATCCTTTCACAATACTGTATTACTATGTATTACTGCATACTTCTCTATAAGCTGAGCTAATAAGCTAAGAAGCTGAACTCTGTGAAGATGTAGCAGTAGAATGGAAGAAAGACTCATTAAGAAAAATAAAAATCCTCCAGTTCTGAGAATATGGGTTTTTCTTATGTTGAAATGTAATCTACACTGCAGACTGTACTCTTTGATCTTTATCAACAAGTGTGTCTGGTTCTCTTTACTCACAGCAGGCAAAGCTGTGTCATCTGCGTATCACAAGATTTTCTTTCTTTCCTCAAAATAATGATTTTTAAAAAATACTTTTAAAAAGTTCTTTTGCAATAGATTTTCATAATGTAATGTTGTTTGATTTCTTGACTGCTGCTTCTACAGATGTTGCTTGTGAATCCAAGTAAAATGATAAACCGAGAAAAAACCCTGAAGTTGTTAAGGATTTAATTTTACTTGTACACTAGACCGAGAATAAGGGAGACAAAGAAGAATTGATGGCTCTTAATTTTAATGAAGAACACTGACTATTAGTTACTAGGAAGAAGCATTCCCCGGAAATTAACATCATGCTTGGTCCAGGGTCAGTGAAAAAGAGGAAGATCATCCCTCATCAAGACAGACCGACATCATGGCTCCTTCAAAGGAGGCTGTGCAAATAGTCCAGGGCTTGGCAATCTTTTGTTCTGTTGTACACAGGTTGTTCTAAATTGGAACTGATTCAAGAGCACCTAACAACATATTTTATCCAACGGTGCCTTTTTCAAAGACTGATACATTTAATAAAGAGTAAATCAAACTTACCAATAGAGGTTGAGAAAAGAGTTCTAGTTGAGCTCTGTAAATGATATCATCTAGGACTTCCTGGCCAAGATCCCACTGTCCATTATACCTATAGTGAAACAGAATTTATCTTTGGCAAATAGTCTCTAATTTTTAAAATAACCTTTTTGAAACCTACTATTTTGGTTCTTATACAAGGCTTTTTAAATCCATTTTTTTTAATCAATTGATTTATAAAATATCTTACCATACTTGGTGACAGACCAAAAAAACATGAATATTTCAAATGTTAATTTTTTAATTTGTTTACAGATGTTTGGTCATATGAAGTGATTTTTAATCATGTGCTGACAGTCACTGTAATCTATTTAATGCATTCAAAATAGATTAAGCTATGAACAAGGTTAAGGGAGTTAAGGCTAAAGAGTTTGCCATAATTTCTAGATTTTAATTTTAATGACTATTTCTGTTATGTTCTGGCTATTTAAAAAGTACAAACATAATTCATAATCAGAAAAGCAGGCTAGTATGTTCATTTGGCGGAAGTGTTAGATGCAGCAACTATGTTTTCAAATAGTTTCCAAACATTAGAAAGAATATAATTTCAAATTCCAGTTACTTACATGGCATAATAGACCCCTGTGAGAAGCTGCACCATAAATTCAGGATCCAATACTATTCGACCACAGAGTTCTTTCCATTGTTTTTCATGTTGCCGGGGAAACCCACTAACACAAACCCTAGGGAAAAATAGTATTTATACCACATGTGATCTCCTGATTCACTAAATAAAATAGTTTTTTGCTTCCAGAAGTTAATGTATTCAATCTTCAAATATTACAATGAGTGATTAGGATGTGCCCCTCATCATTCTGGGGTAAGGAAGATAGAGCTGTGAATAGGAATCCATAAGTTGCATGGTCATGACAGACTAAACCCAGTGAGTGCACATCACAGACACTCAGAAAGCATACTTTCTGATGGATGATATTATTAAGAGCAATGGTTCTTCTTAAATAGCTAATTATCCTTTTAACTATCATCCCTCTTCTCCTAAAATGATATAATTCATTATTATTAAAAATGATGGTAAATTGCTGAGGGTTATAGAATCCTCAAAGAAAACTGTAAAGATACTACTGTTTATGAATGTTTAATGATTACTGAATATTATATGTTTTAAGTGACTCACTTTGGAGATCTGTAATGGGAAGCAATTCTAGAATTAAATATTTATTATTTTATGAATTACAGTCACAAGGAATGAAAGAACTTGTTTATTTCTCAATAAGATGTTACAAAATGGTGATGGGTATCAAATCACTGTAGTATTTACCATTTGTTATATACATTTAAAATAGAGACGTAACCCAAGTGCCCATCAACAAACAAAAGGATAGAAAATCAATGGTTATGTTCACACAATGGTATTAAACAGCATTCAATACAATGCACTCATAAACATTATACAATATGGGGAAGCCTAGAGGACATTGAGTCACAACCAAAAATACTACGTTAACACTGCTGTTATAAAATAGGGTAGACATGGAGGAGCGTTGAGGAGAGAACGGGAAAAGACTGAATAGATATGAACACCACAATAGAACAGATGAGGGAAAGAACTGCCCAAAAGGAATATATGATTAGGAATTACACGTATGACAAGAATCTGGAACAAGGGGTCCATTGTGGGAAGGTGTTGAAAATGTGCAACAATAAATTAAAAAAAAAAACAACCCAAGAACTTTGTAGTTTTGGGGGTTTTTTTTGTTGTTTTTTTTTGGTGAACTGGCCCACTAATGGTTTTCTTTTAAAAAAAAAAATAGTACCAAGAGCATTCTGGTGGCCTAGTGGCAAGAAGCTACACTGCAACCCCAGAGGCATGTAGTTCGAATGCTGGAGGAGGGGCAATTTTCTCCTGTACCAGTTTGATCTGATTTGATGATACACACACACAAAATTAAAAAAAAAAATTGAAAAATAGCATCAATAGTCTCAAACTAGAAATTATTAACACATGAAACTATTTAAGATAGTTCACTACCTTTAAAACGTCAATGTAAAAATGTACAAAAAATACATAATTACAAAAATTCTTTTTAGGGGCTAGGTAAGCAAAAGACAACTCTGTCACTAATGTTATCAAGAAACTATTACCTCTATTAAAATGCGGTCAATTAGAAATTGAACAGATTTGTTTTAGTGAACCAAATATAGTAAGTTAGATATAAATTTATGACGCAGAAAACCATTAAGTACTTAAAATAGTATATTCTCTTGAAAACGCTATAACTTAGAAATAAGAACTGTTAGCTATTAATTATGCTACTATAGGCAGGTGCCAATAATGTATTTATTTTAAAAATAATTGTTTTTGCTTTTCAAGGAGAGGAGCAAATGGGGGGGAGGGGGGGGGGGTTTGTGCGGGGAGAAGGGTGTAACAATGAATGAATGGAATCCCAAAATCTCTGTAGATGTTCATTGAAATGAAAAATAAACAACCTAAATTTAAAAAAAAAATGTGAAGCAAGTTTTCCCCTTGTTACTTATTTATTTATGACTCCAGCTCTCTACATGTCCCATGTTCCATTTTACTACTTTGTTTTGTCTTCTGCCAGTTGTCCTTTGAAATCTGTTCATCTCTTATTTTTTATTTTTTTTTAACCAAATAAAGTGCTTCAGTTTCTTGAAAAGATGGATCCAAAAAAAAAATAATTGTGAAGTCAAATTTATATAGCTAGTTACGCTGCTGATACTGCTGTTATGTGCCTCTAAGTCAGATCTATCTTACAGACGACCCTCCAGCAGGTTTTCAGAGGCAGTAAATCACACGAAAAGAGAATACCCAGCTATCTCCATGGAGCAGCTGGTGGATTCAAATCATAGGCCTTTGAAGAGATAGCAAAGCTCCTTACTACTGGGCCACCAGAACATGTAAAAAAACTAGAACATTTGATTAAAAAGACAGTCATATTTTCTTCTTAATAGTGGCATGTGAACTTTAGTAATACATTTTTTGGATGGGAAGACTTTCAGGGGGTCAATGACTGAAAATCCCTACCCCTCCTGCTATTCTCACCTCTGTACCACTGCCTGCTTTGAACATGAGAGGAACCTGCGACTTACTTCTAACCAACAAAATATGGCAAGCCAGAATATTATGTGTACATGGTTATGGGACAATGTTACATTAAAATTATCGTATAGATTTTGGTGGAGTCTCTCTTGCCCTCTTCCTGGCTTTGAAGAAACAAGCTGCCATGGTATCAGTTACCTATGCTGGGAAGACAAGGAACTGAGGAAGGATGGCATACAGCTAGCCATACTGTAGCCCTCATTCCTATAATCACAAGAAATTAACTTTTCTTAGAAAAGTGAATCTTGCCCCAGTTGAGCCTCTGATAAGACTGTAGTTCCAGGTGGCAACTTAAGTGCAGTCTTGTAAGATCAAATAAAGGACCCAGTTAAGCCATGCCTAGGCTCTTGATTCACAACGTCTGAACTTCTGATTCCTACTGGATTGTTGCAAGCCACTAAGTTTGTTGAAATTCTGATGCTATATATATTCCTATGCCCAAACTACAACAGAAATTTAGATTTTAGCTCTGGTGTGTCCAGATTATTACAAATGCTGATTTATTGAACATTTTGGCTTAATCAACACCAATACAAATGATACACTACTGCCAATAACACAAAAATAGTAATCTGTCTGAATAAAATCTTGGCCAAAAAATAATTTACCATGACCAAGTGGGATTCATAACAGGTATGTAAGGATGGTTCAACACAAGAAAAACAATCGGGCGAGCTCTGGTGGCCTAGTGGCAAGAAGCTGCACTGCAATCCCAGAAGTGCATGGTTCAAATCCACCAGATGCTCTGCTGAAGAAGGAGGAACAATTTTCTCCTGTACCAATCAGATCTGATTTGACAGTACACACACACAAACAGTAAAATAAAATTTAAAAAAAGACACTAAAAAAAAAAAAAGAAAAACAATCAATGTAATTAATCACATTAACAAAGCAAAGAACAAGACCACATGATTTTATCAATTGATGCCTTTGATAAAATCCAAAACCCTTTCCTGATTAAAACACTCAGAAAAATAGGAATAAAAGGCAATTTCTTCAACATAGTAAAAAGTATATATGCAAAACCAAGGGCCAACATTGTTCTCAATGGAGAGAGGCTAAAGTTATTCCCTTTAAGAACAGGAACTAGACAAGGATGCCCACTATCACCTTTCTTATTCAATACGGTACTGGAAGTCTTAGCAATAGCAATAAGGCAAAAGAAGGAAGTAAGAGGTATCCAAATGGGCAAAGAGGAGGTAAAATTATCTCTATATGCAGATGATATGATAGTATACTTAGGAAACCCTAAAGACTCAGCAAGAAAACTACTGGACATAGTCGACCATTCAGCAAAGTGGCAGGATACAAGATCAACGTACAAAAATCAATTGAATTTCTTTACAGTGACAAAGAAAATATGGACCTGGATCTAAGAAAAACAATAACCTTCACAATAGCTAATCACAAGATTAAATATTTGGGAGTAAATCTAATCAGAAATACAAACGATCTGTTCAAAGAAAATGACAAAACATTACTACAAGAATCAAAAAGAGACCGGGAGAAGTGGAAGAATATCCCTTCCTCATGGATAGCAAGACTCAATATTGTGAAAATGACAATTCTACCAAAGGCAATTTACACGTTAAATGCAATCCTAATACAAATACCAATTCCATTCTTCAACGAGATGGAAAAGGCAATCTCCAATTTCATTTGGAACGGAAAGAGACCCTGAATAAGCAAAGCACTCCTTAAAAATAGAAACAAGGTAGGGGGTATCTCACTCTCTGATTTTAAATCTCATTACTGTGGTGGTCAAGACAGTGTAGTACTGGTACAATGACTGACATACAGATCAATGGAATAAAATAGAGAATCCAGAAATCAGCCCATCTATCTATGGTCACTTGATTTTTGACAAAGAGATTAAATCAGTTAAGTGGGGAAACTACAGCCTTTTTAACAAATGGTTCTGGCAGAATTGGAAAACTATCTGTAGAAAACTCAAGCAAGATCCACACCTCACTTCATACACAAAAAACAACTCCAAATGGACCATGGGCCTAGGACTAAAACCAAGGACTATAAATTTAATTAAAGAGAAGCTTGGAAGAACTCTAGAAGTCCTAATCCACAACATAAACAGTATTCCAAGCATCCTGAAAAATTTACAACCAGGAGAGGATAAAACAGATGAACGGTAGCTTCTAAGAATCTATGCACATCTAAAAACTTCTCCAACAGAGTAAAAAGGGAAGCCACAGACTGGGAAAAAATATTTGGTAATGACATGTTTCCACGGTCAACACTCTTGGCACCAGCAGCCAGGAAATAAAAAAATGTATTGCGATGGGAAAGACTGCTGTTAGGTACCTCTCTAAAGTACTCAAGAGCAACGGTGTCTCTCTGGAGAGTAAGGTGCACCTGACAGAGGCCATGGTCTTTGCAATCACTTGTTATGCATCAGAGAGTTGGACAATGACGAGGAAGGTTAGAAGGAGAATGCCTTTGAGCTGTGGTGCTGGAGAAGAGTATTGAATGTACCACGGACCGCCAAGATTGATCTTGGAGAGGGTTAAACCAGGCTACTCCTTGGAGGCAAAGATTCTGGGGCTCCCTCTGACATACTTAGGACATGTTGAAAGGAGAGACAGGTCCTTGGAGAGGGACATCATGCTTGGTAGGGTGGAGGGACAGCGCAGGAGGGGAAGACCCTCTATGATGTGGATTGATTCAGTGACTGGGGTAATCGGGATGGATGTGTCAGAGGTAATATGATTGGCACAGGATAGAGCAGGGTTTAGGGCTGTTGTACATAGGGTCGCTATGAGTCGCAAATGACTCAACGGCACATAACAACAACAACAACGACATGTCAGATAAGGGATTTATATCTAGAATTTATAAAATACTCGAGCACCACTACAAGATAAAGATAAATAACCCAATTGAAAAATGGGCACAGGATATAAACAGACACTTCACCGAAGAAGACATTCAGATGGCAAACAAACATATGAAGAAATGCTCATAATCCCTAGCTCTAAGAGAGATGCAAATCAAAACAACTATGAGATATCATCTCACCCAAGTAAAAATAGCAAAAGTTAACAGAACAGCAAACAGCAAATGCTGGAGAGGTTGTGGAGAAACTGGAACCCTTATACACTGTTGGTGGGAGTGTACAATGGTGCAACCACTATGGAAGGCTTCCTCAAAACGTTGCAAATAGAAATACCATTTGACCCAGCAATTCCACTACTGGGGATATACGCCAAAAGTACCATAACTGTCACCCAAGCAGATATATGCACACTCATGTTTATTGTGGCTTTGTTCACAATAGCAAAGAGCTGGAAACAATCTAAGTGTCCATCAACAAAAGAATGGATAGAGAAGCTGTGGTATATTCACACAACGGAATACTATGCTGCATTGGAAAACAAAGAACTTATGAAATATACAAAATGGAGTACCCTGGAGGGCATTATACTGAGTGAAATAACTCAGTGAAAAAAAAAACAAACAAATATTGCATGGTGCCACTGTTGTAAAATGGGACTGACACTGGGGTTGGGGGGAGACTGAGAAAGATGGGATAAATTATGTATACTGCATTGAAACAGATGAGAAAACGGATTAAAAACGATTTATGATTAGGTATTATTGTCATGACCGGAGTCCAGAATGAAGGCTGCATAGTGAAGTGGACTGGGGGGGACTGTACAACAAGGAAAGCATTTTTGTTTTACTTTTCAAAGAGAAGAGCGAACTCGGGGGGAGGGGGTCAGGGAGAAAAATACAACAATGAATGAATGGAAATCAAAAGTCTCTGTAAAAGTTCATAAAAATTAATAATAATAAAAATGTTGTTAAAGAAAAAGAATAGTAATCTGTGAAATGTATTAAAAAATCTTGGGAAAAGATTCACATGCTGTAAGATATTTTTTTTCCTTTCTCTAAGACTGTTTATTCAAAGTGCTCAAAGTGATTTCAACACACTGGCTTCCAGGGAATTCTTAGGTTCACCATTATCCATCTCTATCTAGTCAACTTAGACTCAGTGACTGTACAGGGAAGAACAGAACAGCCTCATAGTGTTTCCACAGGCTGTAAGTCTTTACAGAAGCAGACTGTCATCATTCTCTGTGGAGAGGTTAGACGTGAGCTGCTCATCAGTTAGCAGCTAAGCACTTAGCCTTTATTTAATTGGGGCTCCTTCAAGTACATTATAAACAACTTTAAACTTGGCTGTCTTAGCTTAAGTCAATGTTCAGCTAGAAAATACTACATTAATAGGGAAAAGTTTTCCAAGATATTTATTGCTGCATCACAAGAAGCTGCACTGAGAGTGGTATAGAGAACATGCTGAACAAGTGCTTGCTAAATAAAAAAATGAATAAGAAAGTTAATGATAACTGCACATCTCACCTGGAGCCCATTCGACAAAGAGACTGGTAAGATGAGGCAGGCATGTATACAATAGCAGAATTATAGCACAACATGAGAAAGCTCAGAACTTCAAACCTAGAAAGAAAGAAACAAAACTAAATATAAGGGAAAGGGACTCTAACGAATAATTCTTTCTACTAACGACTGATTCATGGAATGTTTATAACAAAGTAAGCCTTAAAACTGAGCTATATATTTCTCAGTCAGATTAATCATTAATGATTACCCTGTTTTCACTCTCATCATAGGCAATTTCTCTTGCTGCTATTGGTATTTTCTTTCATTTAAAAAAGAAAAAAAATCATATCTAAATAGATTTCTTTCCTATCTAAAGTTCAATGACTTCCTACTGACTGTAAGGGAACTTCAAATTTATGTTATACAAGGTCCTTCATAATCCATCTTCAATCTGTCTCTCCAGACCCAACCTCCCTTTTTCTCTTCCACAGCCCACCACATGCATCATGTTAATCTTTTTACTAGTTCTTAAATATACCATAATATTTCCTACCTCGATGGCAATGGGGGTTTTATTAAATATGGGCAGTGGGTTAGCATATACTTGAGGAATGCCAGTGACAGAAAAAACAGAAAGCAAAAGAAATAGAAAAAATACAATGTCAAGGAATCAGAGTATGGCAAATAAATAAAAAATGGTGGCTTGAGGAGTAAAGTGTATTTTATCCTTCAGATTCTAGTCTTTTATTCAGTTGCATAGAGAAGAAGGAATTTGAGCACAAAACTGCTTCTGAATAAACAAATTACTACTGTTATTATTAGGTGCCATTGAGTTAAATACAATGGAAAACTCATTAAAAACTTATGAACAACAGATCTGAACCTTGACCTGTCCTGGGCCATCCTCATCATTTCTGACGTACTTGAGTCTACTGCCACAATGACTGTGTGTGTCAATTCATCTTGTTGAGGATCTTCCTATCTTTTGCTGACCTTCCACCTTTCCAAGAAAGAGCTACTCCTAACAATATGCTCAAAGTACATGAGACAAAGTTTTGTCATCCTTGACGCTTAAGAGCACTCTAGCTGCACTTTCTCTAAGACATATCTGTTTGTTCTTTTGGCAATGTCCATTGGATACTCAGTAATCTTCTCCAACACCTCAACTCAAAGGCATCAATTCATCCTCTGTCACCCTTACTCACTGGCTAACTTTCTGATGCACCGTAGCGACTGAAAAGGTCATGGCTTGAAGCAGGTGTACTTTAATCTAGTATCACTGCTCTTAGTACTTTGGAGAGGTCCTTGTTAGCAGACTTTCCCAATGTAATATGCCTTTTAATTTCTTGACTGCTGGTCTTGATTATGGAGCTAAGTAAGATTAAGTAAGTAAGAAACCAACAATGTCTATCTTTTTGTGACGTTCCCTATTGGTCCAGTTGTGAGAATTTCTGTCTTCTTGAGGTTAAGATATAAGCATTTCTAGCCCTTCTCACTTTTAGCAAGCAAGGCTGTATTATCTGCATAATGCAGATTACTGATGAGTCTTCCTCCAATCCTAATGCCACATTCCTAGAGTCAAGGTACTCAAATAATTTGCTCAGCACACAGACTGAATAGGTAAGGAGAAAAGATACAGCCGTGATGCACATCTTTCTTGATTTTAAACTATGTAGTGTTTCCTTGCTCTGTTCGAACAACAGCTTCTTGGCCTAGGTATGGGGTTGATGTTAGCATAATTAAGTGTTCTGTGATTCCCATTTTTCTGAATGTTAGCCATAGTTTGTTGTAATCCACACAATCAAATGCCTTTGCACAGTCAATAGAACACAAATACATATTCTTCTGGTATTCTCTGCTTTCAGCCAAGGTTCATCTGACATCAGTAATGATATCACTGGTGCAATAGCCTCTTCTTTTTTCTTTAGAGCTTCTTCTAAATCCAGTCTGAACTTTTAGCAGTTCTCTGTCAACGTGCTGTTGTTATGTGCCATTGAGTCACTTGCGACTCATAGCAACCCTATGTACAACAGCCCTAAACTCTGCTCTGTCCTGTGCCAACTGCACTGTCTCTGACACTCCCATCCCGATTATCCCAGTCACTGAATCAATCCACCTCATAGAGGGCCTTCCCCTCCTGCGCCATCCCTCCACCCTCCCAAGCATGATGTCCTTCTCCAAGGACCTGCCCTTCCTTGCAACATGTCCAAAGTATGTTAGACGGAGCCTTAGAATCCTTGCCTCCAAGGAGCAGACCGGTTTGACCCTTTCCAGGACAAATCTGTTTGTTTTCCTAGCAGTCCATGGTACCCTCAAATGCTCTTCTCCAGCACTGCAGCTCAAAGGCATCAATTCTCCTTCTATCATCCTTGGTCAATGTCCAACTCTCAGATGCATAACAAGTGATTGTGAAGACCATGGCCTGTATCAGATGCACCTTAGTCTCCAGAGAGACACCATTGCTCTTCAGTACTTTGGAGAGGTCCCTAACAGCAGACTTTCCCATGGCAATATGCCTTTTAATTTCCTGGCTACTGGTGCCAAGAGTGTTGACTGTGGAGCCAAGCAAACTAAAGCTGTGAACAATCTCAATCTCTTCACCATCCATCCTGATGCTGCCAACTGGCCCAGTGGTGAGAATCTTTGTCAATGGACTGTTGTAGTAATTTTTTAATAATCTTCAGCAATATTTTACTTCCATGGGATGGTAATGGTATTATTAGAAAATGTCCATATTTTGGATCACCTTTCTTGGGATGAGAATAATATAATGCATTTTACAAGTATGATGGATTTTATTTTTTCCTCCAGACAGAGAGAGGTTATTAGAAAGAAAGAAAATGCTCTTTTATTTTAACAAACGTTTACAGACAACTTGTATTTTCATTCATTCATTGTTGCACATTTTCTTCCCTACCCCTCCCGCAGTTCACTTAAAAAAATTATTCACTGTAGCATAATAAGAAAATGTTCTTGAAAATGCACAGCCAAGGTAGTGAGTGTGGTTACACAGAACTCTGTCCTCCCCAGAAGGCAAAGTGGCAGGATTTAATCTTAAAGATAACAAGGCCTTATGTGTTTAGTAATTTTCTATGAAGAGGTAGAGTTTAGTTTCTTCCTCCCCTTTAGGTGGCGTCATGGAAATGAGGTGTAGCCAGTCCTTCAAGATGGACTCTGCCACAAGGGCTTCTTGATGTGCTGAGCAGAACTTATTATGGGATAGTGCATATGTACTGATGCTTATGTCCCAGAGGTTTTGGCCCCTCTCACACCAAGCTTTAACTGACATAATTATCTTTAATTATTTGGAATAAATTAGTAACCTTTCTTGTCTACCATTCTGACCATTACCGGTTCTGTGCAGTGAATGTTTCCCTCTGAGGATGGAGATCACTATACACAACCCTGATAAGATCATGTTGACACAACGCTCCTTCTGTCAAAGCCATGGATCCAATTGTTGATGGCTACAAAAACAAGGCAAACAGTGAGATGCATTTCTGAAAGGAAATAAAAATCTACATAATATTTAATTCTGTGTAAAATTGTAAGCTCTAACAAGAAACATTTTCAGACCTTTCTTATTTCATGTCTTATTTTTTCACTTACATACGCTCTACAACTCTTTGGAAATTTTATATAAAATCTGAATCTATAGCTTTAAAATTAAAGATTTTAGAATGAATTTGTATCTAGGGAAGAGAATAAGAAAACTTGCTGACCAGAATAGGGAGTAAAACTACTGTTATCTAGACTATGAGTAATGTCTTTTTAATAGTGACATAACTGATTCTGTGTTTCTAAACTTAAGGCTTTAAACTACCTTCTATTTTTCATGACATGGTACAGAGAACTTAATTAAAATCTATTATTCAGAAATATTTTACGCTAAAACAAGTGTTGGCTAAATATGAGGTAATTTATTTCAAGTATAGCATTCTAGGGGGAATTAATTAAGGATATAAATAGCTGCTTAGAGGTAGGATACATAAAGATGATGTAAGTTAGGAACATGGTATATTATTTTTAGCCATGGACAGTGTTCCTCTAAAAATGTTTCCCTCACAATTTTATACAATAAATGCCACAAGAGACTAGACACTTTACTCAAAATGTAGTTCTTTTTTTGATTTTAGTTTACAAATGCAGCTTTAAAAAACTGTATTTAATAGTAATCATTTACCTTTACAATTATTAGTTTTCTTACCTTTGTCAACCAAATTAAAACATATGCAAAAATTAAAAGTATGTTATTGAGCAACTAGAACATACCAAGTAAACACTTTTTAAAACATTAAATACAGCTTATTAATAGTGTTAAAATTCTTCTAACGTAGTTATTTTCATAAAGAATAAGGAAAAACAAATTAATCTAAGATTGATTTCTAAGTCATATGTAGCATTCTGGTGGAGCAACGATTAAGCACTAGGCTACTAAAGCACTCAAGTGCTTACCTCAAAGTCCACAATTCTAACCCACCAAACATATACTTTATAAAAAAAAAGTCAGTCTGGTTCCATAAAAATTATATTTGAAAGTGCAACAATGAATGACTGGAAACCCTAAGTCTCTGTAAAATTTCATTAAAATTAATAATAATAAAAAAATTACAGCCGAATACATGTGATAAACCAAGTTCTACCCTGTCAAACAATGTTACCAATGAGTTGGAATTGACTTAATGAGGTATGACAACAATAAAATAATATGTAAAACTTTGTAATTATTTCTCAAAATCTTATAAAAGATTATAAAACAACCACCAAAGTGGCACAGGCAGAAGAATAAATAAACAAGAACCAGTGGGAATTTTTTTCCATTAATAACTTTCTGCCTCTCTTGACAAATCTCAGCTTTATTACAAATAATAAAACATCCATTTTAAAAAGCAAATCAGTATTAGATGTATTAGGAATAATTACCTCTATTGTGACATTTTTCTTTTCATCTTTTAATATAATTTAAATATAACTTTCCAATTTTACCTACCTCATGGTATATAGAAGGCTTCGATAAGGAAGGAATAGTAAAAGACAGAACTTTATTGTTTCCATCTTTGTCAGCAATTTCCTGTAGTTTAAAAATATACAAAGATAAATGAGACAAACACAGGTCTATAATACATGAAATATGACCATTTTCTTAATTTACAGAATATACTGTGAACAGTTGAGGCAAATTAAAAAAATTAGTAGTAACACACAGTAAACCCTGTAAAAGTTGAAGCCTGTGAAAGGCTGTTAGAAGGAAAATGGAAAAATTTTCCAATAACATAGACTGCACCTTGTCAGAAACAGCAAACTTATGAGACCTGGACAACAAGGAAGTACTGTCATGTCAAGGCTCTCAGGAGTACCACTAAACAGAAAAAATTAGTATCCCAGTATACTGTTCCTAATTTAAGTGAAAATTTGTATAATTTACTTGTATTATGAGTAACAGAATGATAATGAATACAATCAATAAAAACATGTTGTGTTGTTAAGTACTGTCGAGACGTAGGCGACTCACTGCGACCCTGTGAATGAAAAACGTGAACACCTGTATAACTCTGATCCTTTCTCCAGGTTCATATTTTATTTTATATTTTACTTAGTATATTTTATCAATAAAAAATGTTAA